TAGACCTCTTGGAATAGCTTGGTAAAATAATTTAGAAAATGAAATGGTGTAAAATGCTATAACCACAGCATGTAAGTAATGTTTCCTCCAATAATCATTAAAGACCCACTTATAACCAGACTTTCTTTCACATTCTTGTTATTCTTTTACAACTTTATTTAAAAAAATGGCTTTCTGCACTAAAGCTGACCGTATTTACTTACACCTTGCCCCTGGCTTTGAAAACGTTTAAGGAAAATGTGCACAAATATTAACTTATTTAAAGTTGAAATACACAAGCTTATTCTATTTTAAGAGAAGTTTAATGGCTGGAACATTTCATTTCTCAGAAACTTAGTGGAAATATTTCCTGTGTGTGCAATGAAGCCAGTAATAAAATATTAGTAAATGGAAAAATTACGCTTGTTCAAAATCCATTAACTGTTTTACAGCTCTATACAATCATATAAACATTTAAGACATGTTCTAACAAGCAAACAGTCAAATAAAATATGTGTTTTGGTATAAATAAGTTCCATTAATTTTTATTTTATCTCCTCTTTCTTTTTTTATAGGGCATGCACAAAATGGAGAAAGAAATTGGGGGCAGATGTTATGAACCCACATTTTTGTGTATGGAATTATTTTTGTAAAGTATTCATATGGGTGACCCAGAATGTAAGCTATTATTCTTAGCCTAGAATGATAAAGGTAAACTCAAAGATCCATTTGTTTTTGTCCTCCATCATTGGGTAACCTCCACATTCCAGGGAAGAAAATGATGTCATGCTTATTTCTATCATCCAATGAATGAACTGAATTGCAGATTCCTGGCACTGTTGACTAACATAGAACATATGAATTTGAAGTCTTATAGACAAGAGTTCAATAAGCTCTTCCATTTGGTCTCCCTGCTTATTAACCCCCAACTTCCTCACCCAGAGAATGGGAATCAGAATAACGCCTGCCTTATAAACTGATGTGAGGCATTCCTGTAAAATATAGGATCTGGCACACAGTAATTCTTTAGTGAATTTTGTTACTTTACTACATGAGGAAAGAAAACTTTTAAATACAATAAGAGAAGCTACTCTTATTGAACACTTACTATTATGCCAGGAATCATGTGAGTACTTTACAGACATTACCCAATTCAACCTTTACAATATTGTTAACCCATTTTTCAGACAAGTAAGAGGCAGCATCCTCTGGTCCCAAGCATTGCAAAGATCCTATCATGTTCTAGTTCTTTTGAACTACACCTGGTTTAAAGAAGATATTAACATATAAGGACATTCATCTACACTAAAAATAATAATTTGGTGGAATTTCCCTCCAATAAGGCAGATATTACCACACTAGACATAATTTTTTCCTAATATTACCTTGAATTAAGATCCTACTAGATAGAAATACACAAATCAGGAAATTTAATTACCTTTTCAAAGATCTGTTTAACTCTTTGTTAACAGATTTGGGGGTTTGCATTTTTGTTCTACTTCTGACTAATATGCATAATTTGCTTGATTTCCTTCTGTAGTTTGATTTCATAGAGAAATTTGGGGATTACTTCTTTAAACTCCACTCTCTGGAAATTAAAACAGTTTTAAAATGCCCAGAAATAAATTTAAATAGCTTAAAAATAAATATGTGAAGCACGTATAAAAAAAACTAAACATATAAAACCCAACCAATGCCAAAGTTGAGTTATTTTTTAAAATGAACTCAATCTCATATTCATGTGAGTGTATGTATGTGTGTATAAGGCATGAAGTTTTGTTTGACTTGAGAAGTATATGATAAAAGTAAATGTTAAATACTTGCCTTCATCGTGCTGTGTATAGAATATATACTAATGTCTTAATTCTCAGGCATCTATTCCCAAGAAAAGAAGTATTTGAGAAAATGGTACAATTCACAGGACTTCTTGAAAATGAGAAATCATTACAGTTAGTGAGTGAATTAGGATTATAACCCAGCGTAGAGTGCAACAGCCAGACTCAAAACAAAGTTTGCATAGGGGCGCCTGGGTGGCTCAGTTGGTTAAGTGTCTGACTTCGGCTCAGGTCATCTCGCGGTTCACGAGTTTGGGCCCTGAGTCTGGCTCTGTGCTGACAGCTCAGAGCCTGGAGCCTGCTTCAAATTCTGTGTCCCCCTCTCTCTCTGCCCCTCCCCTGCTCTTGCACTATCTCTGTTTCTCAAAAAATAAATAAACATTAAAAAAAGTTTGCATAGATAATCCTCAACCTGTTTAATTTATGAACAGAGTTCTGAGTTTTGACAGATTCTCTACACTTCAGGGCTCAACAACTTTAAGAGAAAGTTTGATTTTCAGTAATAATAGTAACCAGAAAGAAAAATTTTAAATGCAGCCAATAAAATACTCAATAAATAAAATAAAGTAAAATAAAATAAAATGCACCTAAGAGTTTGATAATATTGATAATATTATATAATCAGGCATATAGCTATTTTTAAAATTCTTTAAAAGAGGAAAAACTGAAATTTGATACTATTATTACTCCATTAGTGTCATTACATAACATTTTTAACAAAACATGTATAAATAAAAAAAAGTTCTAAAATATCTCATGAAAAATGTTTTTAATTCCTAAAAAACAAATCAGATAACAGATTATATAAAAACATTATTCACTTAAACTTTAAATCTTAGGACTTTATAATTAAGATGTATAGATATCCCTTTAGCTTTATATATACATACATATATATATAGTTTAATACATATATATAGCATATGTATCTTGCAATATATATGTGTATATCAGAAACTAAAAGAATCTTGCAAGATATATTTGCATATACCTGGCAATCTTTCCTAGATATACTTCTACTCTCATCTTAATACTAGTGGACCAAGGATTACCCTTGGTTCTTTAGATTTTAATGGATGAGGCTTGAAAGACTCAAAGATACTCAGAATTCATGTAAAATTGGTGTGTAATATTTTGCACCTTTCTGATGAGTGGATTGACCACCTTTGCCAAGGTTAAGAACAAATAATCGAGATAAAAGAGAGTTACAACTGAGTTGTAAAGGATTAGTGGTGCATGCACCATGGTAAGGCGTCTGGTTTCAGATATCACCTTCCCCACAAGGCTGTGTAACTCCTGTTTAACTTTCTTAATATTCCTGAGCCTCAATTTTCTAATCTATAAAATAAAGATAACGACAGCACATATTTCAGAGATAATTCCATGAAGTGAAGAAAGCCTAAGATCGGAGCTCTGGCAATGTGTTTATGTGATCGGGTAAAATTTGTAAAATTTACTAGTGTATTTCTTTAATAGACATATTCTTCAAATTGTGTAACTTTTCATACCCTACCAAATTTGATATTTCTCAGGGTTTATACTGAGTACTAAATTAGATATATAAAATAGGTAAAGCTTTAGGATTGTGCCTAGAATAAGGGAAACACTTGATTCCTGTTCATTACCATTATTATTATTATTATCATAGGTAATTTGCTTGTGTTTATTTTTCCCATTACTGCATACAATTATTTCACATCCTAAATAGTATAGCTTAAGGGTGTTTAAGAAAGAGCTCAGCTATGTAATATAATAAGAAAATACAAAATATTAAAGAAAATAAACCTGTAAGTATCTTTGGAAAAAAAAAAAAAGAAAGAGCTCACCTAATTTGTAAAGAGAAAAAGTATATTAATAATTTATATTAGTATATATACTATTAATATACTTTATAATAACTAATAATTATAAAGTATATATATTAATCCAGATGTTAGATTTACTGATACAAATCTGAGAAAGGGTAGCTTTTAGAATTTAATCAAGACCATGCTTGCATTTTATTTTTTTTTTTTTTTTTTTTTTTTTTTTTTTTTTTTTTTTTTTTTTTTTTTTTTTTTTTTTTTTTTTTTTTTTTTTACGTTTTATTTTATTTTTGGGATAGAGAGAGACAGAGCATGAATGGGGGAGGGGCAGAGAGAGAGGGAGACACAGAATCGGAAACAGGCTCCAGGCTCTGAGCCATCAGCCCAGAGCCTGACGCGGGGCTCGAACTCACGGACCGCGAGATCGTGACCTGGCTGAAGCCGGACGCTTAACCGACTGCGCCACCCAGGCGCCCCGACCATGCTTGCATTTTAGAGAAAACTCTAAGATGGTAAGTCAGAGGAAACTGTGGTACTATGCCAAATAAACTTGCTTAAATGAGATTTCACACACTTGTTAGGTGGCTATTGTAAGAGAAGACAAGTAAGTGACTGACCTCACCAGAATTACATTAACCTTCTCATAGCTATACAGAAACATCGAAATGTTAAAGGACTTAGAAATGTATACACAAATGGCCATGCAATTTTCTGAATCATCGTTTTGGGACATATGATACCTGTTTTACATCCATAATGTAAAATCATATTCATATGATATCTATTTTATTATTCATAATCAAATGGCATCATACCTTTTAATCACGTACCTAAAAGTTACAGACATAAACTATCTCTATAAATTATGATTAATCACACAAAGAATCACAATAAATGTTATTGACTTGTAATTAAGCTCTATCTTTTGAATTTTCTATTTTATTTAAATAAAGGAGATATATACATGCAGTGGTTATGAATAAAATTCACCAGGGAAATATGATTCCTTTTCCAAATAATAGGAATTTGAATATTACCATCACTGAATCAAGTCAATATAGGAATACATTTCAAGATAAAACAAATTTAAGATAAATACATTAGAGTTGGCTCTAACAACAGCTTAAATCCTGAAGCAATATTGATTTATACACAAATAGAATTTCATTTGAATGACTTTTAGTGTGAGATATATATTTTTCAAGGCAAAATCCTGTTCAGAGAAGAATGCTAGCTGTGTTTGTCTTGCCTTTTCTGAGTCAATCATGAAATTGCTTGATGAACCAGCTGAGCAATAGTAAGAATGAGAAAATTATTTTTCTGCCCTGCTCCATAGAGATAGCAAGGTAAGTTCTTTCCAGGTAGAGTTGAATGGCTGAAATCACAGTGTCATTTCCTGCTTCATGCTGTTCCCATTTAGTAAAATAGAATTGGTCACCACGTTCTTAGCATTGCTTTTCAGAGATGTCATACGCACTGCAGAAGAGCTGAGAAGGTAGCTCGTTGATCTCTCTTGATAGGACTTCCTCCCACAACACAGCTGGCTATTGAAATGCCTCCTGAAGCTTTCACTGAGTAGATAGAGAGCAAATGGATTGACACAAGAATTGCAAAAGCTCAGAACTCGGGCAACTAAGGTGACAATCATGTGGCCTAGAGATGAGTCAATCTCATTATAGTTGAAAGACCTATACATGTAGAGAATGTGATTTGGAAACCAGCAGAAGACAAAGCAACCCACAAAGACCAGCACAATTTTAGCCAGGCGTTTCCGTGTTTCCATCTGCAAATATAAGCAAACAGTCCCTTTGGTTAAAATGAAAATGGAACCATCGACATGAGAAACATTGTGCAAAAGAAGTGAAACTTACCATAGCATGCAAATGCATCCCAAAATACAAAAACTATTTTCCTCAACAAAGTGATGATTTTAACAGTTTGACAAAGCTTATTTTGGTCACTATCTCTTTCATTAAATATATTTAGCAATATGATTTTAAGCGTATATGGAATTTAATAAACAAAACAGATGAACATACAGGAAAGGGAAAAAGAGAAGGAGGCAAACCATAAGAGACTCTTGATGACAGAAAACAAACTGAGGGTTAATGGAGGGAGGTGGGCAAGGGATGGGCTAAATGAGTGATGGGTATTAAGGAGGGCACTTGTGATGAGCACTGGGTGCCATATGTAAGTGATGGATCACTAACTTCTACTCCTGAAACCAATACTATACTATATGCTGACTAGAATTTAAATAAAAACTTGAAACTAACTAAATAAGTAAATAAAATAAAATTATTTGACAGATTATGTAAGACCAGATGATAAATTACTAATAAATGGCTATGTCTTCAAGCTAAACTGTGACCTATAAAAACTCTGTTTTTTTTAACTACTTTCCTGTTGCTAAAGTCTTATTGTGTTCACTTTAAACATTAATCATTTCTGTTTGTATTAAATCCACTGAATTAATGAACCACAAAATATATTCGGTATTAGATTTTGTTTAAATCAGGGTAATTGAAATAAAGCATGACTTTTTAAATCCTTATTAAACACACACACAAACACCCACACAGACACACAAAAACTTGAGATTTCAACTTCTGACTCACATAAATCAAAACCATCTGACATAACTGTCAATCCTATAAGTATTAACTATGTTAGATTACCTTTAAAAATAAAAGTACATTTTCTTTCTTTTCGTAAACTTTACATACTGTGTTTACTGTTTTATAGGAAACTCTTCAGGAATGTGATAAAGAGACAAAATTCAAATATTGGACATATATCTCTTCTAATCTAAAAATTATTTTCCAATATGTAGAGTTCAAGGTTTAGCTCGTATTTGTCTTACTTGTTTAAATATTTAAATACGGCAACATGAGTATGAAAACTTAGTTTATCAAAAGATATTGATAGAAGGCAAAATGATATATTCTGGGCTAAAACTACTGGCAGTCAACTAGAACATACCAAAACTGGAAAGGTTTACAATCCAAACATAATTGGTATTGGGGTGTAGTAGTGAGTGGCGACGGGGGCAACAAATAAAGGTGCAGTAAAGAGGAGGAACAACAAATGCTGTGGTCCAGATGTATCCCAGCGGCATGAGTTAAGCAACTTGACTGTAAGATAAATGTGAAATTTATATTACAAAGCAGTGTCCACACTAACAGGTGGAGTATGGGTGGAAGAATTTCATGCCAGTCTGTATCTGGAGACACACAGGCAGGCCGTCAGCACTGAGATTACTTCTCAGCAGATATCAAGCCCCGTTACCCAGCCAGGGTTTATAAGTCCCAATAGAAAACTCACAAAACACAAGGCAGAACTAAGGCCATTTAAAAAAATAAAATAAAAGTGGAGGTTGGAAGGTGGGAGGAACTCAATTTTAGAAAACAAAGCAAAAACTCAAATACCCAAATTGAGATACAATTTGGATCACAGGGCAAAGGAAAAAGCACAGTGAGTCTATGAACTGGATTTTTTGGCTACCATGAGGCTAGATATTTATTTTTACTCACCTATCTATGTATCTATTTATTTATTTATTTTAAAGTCTATTTATTTTGACAGAGAGAGAACCAGCGGGGCAGGGGCAGAGAGAGAGGGGGAGAGAGGATCGAAAGTAGACTCTGCCTTGACTGCAGGGAGCCCTATGCAGGGCTCACACTCACAAACTGTGAGATCAGGACCTGAGCTGAATTCGGACACTTAAGTGACTGAACCTCCCAGGCGCCCCACGATGCTAGATATTTAGATAATGAATGTATTAATTTATCTAACAACTATTTTAATGATTGGTTGATTTTTTAGCTTTCAAAAAAGATGTGGATCTCTGATTCTGATGGTCATCAATAAATAGAGGTTACTTTCCATGCAAGAAACCCTTCCAGATTCTGCTGTTGCTGAAGTGTGCAAAGCCCCAGACTGTGCCTCCAACTACAGCCCAGCAAATTTTAATGATCCGCCATTCAACTTGCCTTTAACTTGGTGAAGGACACTCATCATATCCCTGTACCTACAGAACCTTTTGGAAGAGGTTCTTCGCTAAAAATACACAAATGCACAACTTGAAACTGTCCCACTAGAGCAATATTTCCATCTCTTTGTGGATTAACACAACTGGTTTTACCTTAAGTTAATATCTCTATTTTCTAAGGAAGAAAGACTACATAAGGTGCATACTGTAATTTTTAAATTAATATATAATTTTTATAAGAAAAGCTATAATGTTGAGTTAGAGAAAGTACAACTTCAGCATCAACCACCTCTTGATCACTCTCACCTTTGTTCTCTACCTGCTGTTCCTCACCTTTGTTCTCTACCTTCTGTTCCCAGACCCCCATTCTGGCATCCTACCAAACCTCATCCCCAGATCCTAGGTCCTTTCCTGATGAATCCTTGTCCCAGACTTTCTGTCATCCTTAATGGGCTAATGGGAGAATAGACAATAATTAAATAAATTTATAGTTAATTTTCTGGTTTATTATGTTGTTTTTTGCATGAACATTTGCTGGTAAGGAAAAGCCTTCAAAGACATTAAATTTGAATAGCTGTAGGCCCAGATGGCAGATATGCTGGACCTCAGTGGGCTTTTACAAAGCTCTGACATGGCCACATACTGGAGATGCCCTCCCCTCCTCCTCCCACCCCAACATCTCTTCTAGTTCAGGCTAATGCTTGTGCCAGTGCCCTGTGATTCTGTTCTAACCATTCATGGTATTGAGAACCCATGCCATAGAACAGCAGACAGCAGTTATTGCATCTGACCCACACACCCCCACCCACACACCTAACAAGCTTACCTGTTTTTTGGTATGTTCATTGTATTCTCCAGGAAGATTATGTGCACTTTTAATTAAGGTCTTTGCAATATGATAATAATAAACGCTAATAATAGCAAGTGGTATGAGGAAATAGACCAAGAAGATGAGCACTGAATGAATCTTTGGGTGTAATTCATCCGTCTGAGGGTAGGGTACACACGCCGTGAAGCTGCCATTTTCAACGCCCTCAATTAGCGTCACTTCCGAAAACACGGCTTCCGGAAGCGCCAGCAGCACGGAGACCACCCAGATCCCCACCACCTTGACACAGGTCCACAGCAACGCCCGGGACGTCTGGATGTCCATGGGGTTGACGATGGCTCTGTACCTGGGAAGACAACATGACTCATATTACTCTCTTAGAAAGAAAAATGTAAAGGAGAAAGAGGAAGGGAAGGAAGGAAGGAAGGAAGGAAGGAAGGAAGGAAGGAAGGAGAGATCCTACTGGCTGAGAGAGAGGTGCTAAAACTCTGTTATTCCCTAGCTGTTTTGCAGTATATAGAATACTTAAAATCTCTGATGTCTGTCTACAAGACATTCCATAGCTTATTAACACAGAAGACGGAGAAAGGAAAAGATTTTAAATTGTCATTCCCCAAATTCCATTAATTTGCTTACCTCTTTTGCAAGTATTTTTCTACACTTGATCTTAGCCAAAAGGCCGAGAAGCGATTGCAAGTATTTTTCTAAATCACACATAGTACCAGTATCATCAGTTATTGAATATTTTCATTTTTTTTCATTTAAATCACTGCATTTTCAAAAAACTATCACTGCTATAATTGCAATAATAGACAGAAACCCTAAAATATAAAATGTCTACAAAATAATGTTACCAACTTCTATTTTGCTGCTCTTCACCTTCTGTGACTTAGTCTCCCACTTTTTTTCCCTAAGGGCATTAGTAAACCTTAAAGACTGGGATTTTCTCCATAATTCAATCATAAGAACTGAAAGAACTGAAGATGAAATAACATCCTGTCTTTGTAGCTGAAATTTATTTCCTGTTGACACCTCATGAAAACCTCTCTCTTCCTATATAACACCATCATAATGGTAAAGGAACCACACTCCAGGACACAAGGGCTTAAAGAATATAAACAGCTAACTCTGTCACACACTTTAGGGTGATCATAATGCAAACAAACCAAAATTATATGTGAACATCAAGTTATTTATATTTTTCTGAAAGTATTTCAGGTTATAGGACAACTAGGAGGTTAACATGATACAGTAAAAAATTATTTTAGTCAAACAAACCTGAGCCATTTCCTTAACTCTAATATCCTTTGGAAAAATCACTTAAGGTCTTTTTCTTCATCTGTAAGGTGGGGATAAAAACATTTTTCTCAAAGTTTTGTGATAAAAAAAAAATGGAGAGAATACCTATTACTGTGCCTGCCAATTAGCAGATACTAACCATGCCATGACTCTATACCTTCTCTTTATTTACAGTTGATTTAGAATGCTGTTCTAAAAATTCAGGATACTTCAAGCAACAGAACAAGCAGATAAGGTCTGAGGTTCTGTAAAGATGTTTCCCATTGCCCGGAAGAGAGAAACAGCTCCTGGCCTCAATACCTCTCTGAGGGGAGCCTCTCTTTCTTCTTCCTGATTTGCGTCAAGCATCATTCCCAGACCCTCAATCAGAGAAAGACAGTTTGCATTTTGATCTAGAGAGTCTACCCTTGTATACCAGGACACATATAAAACTTAAAGTAGAGCAACAGCAAAGGGCCTCAACACCAAATTAAATAAAGTAGCGAACATACTGCATTTGTTTCACCTAGACTTTGCACGTAGCAGAAAAAAGTAGACACGTGTTTCCCACCCCCCCCACTTCTGCTTAATTACATGTTCAGAAGAAAGTAAAAGTCGAATTACAATCGGTAACTAGAATTAGCTGTTTTTTTCTGTTTCTTTTTAATGTTTATTAGCTTAATACATTCAAAGAGGTGGGGTTTTTTGTTTTGTTTTGTTTTTAATCAGAGAACACTAAGAGCCTGTAAAGAATAAGAAAAGCAGGACCTGATTTCATTTCAGGTCCTGCTCCTGAGTGGAACCAAATTTCATATCATTACCTCCATACGTCTAAGAAATGTCCTTCTGCCACTATCTCCTGAATTAAATATTGTAGACATTTGCTCTTGACATCCTATTATGGAAGTTGAAGATTTTCTCTCTTATATACTTCTATCTCTCCCATTACCAACTTCCTAATTCAGTAAATTATATTAAATGTTTATAAAATAGTCACTAGATTGTTATTATGACCAACCAAATATCTCTTACTGTAGAATTAAGTAATATATTGTTTTCTTTCCTAAACATGTCTTCGATTTACCTACAGTTGCTACTTGATCTTTTTTTTTTTTGCATAATTTTCCCTGTACCTGAATTTACTTCTTTCTAACTGTTTTTTTGCCACCTTGCTTTATAATTGGAGTCTCAGTACTTGAATCTAATTCCTCCTTCACTTTATCAAGCTCATCTCCACCTTCTTATTGGTTTTACTTTCTAAGATGCTTTATTAGCCTTAGCGTCCATTCTTCCTTATAATTTTTTTTTATTTCCACCATTAGATTTTTAAATGTGTTTTTCAGTTTTATTTTGAGAGAGAGAATATCCCAAGCAGGCTCCACATTTCGTGTGGAGTCCAATGGTGGGCTCGACAACCCTGGATCATGACCTGAGCTGAAACTAAGAGTCAGATGATCAACTGACTGAGCCACCCAGCCAGTGGTCCCTCTGCTATCATATATTTAATTTCTAGAAGTTCTTGTTTTGCAAGTGAATAGATCATTAGAGGAACCGTTCCCTTTATGGATTCAAGTAACTATATTTTAGTACCAATATACATTATTTTCACTTGTGGATTCATTTTTTTTTTCTTATTTCATGTTCAGATATCTCTCTTTGCCTTTTTTTTTTTGGCATTAGTTACAATGATGTTACTGGAATTCATGGAAATATAATTAAATCCGATTTTTAAACAAACCAAAAATGAACCAATACACTTAAAGATATTTATTTGGTGGTGTGTTTGCTTGGCTTCTTTATGCTGGAATTTCTCCTCAAAAGTTAGGTATCTACTACCTCCCAGTTCCTATTTAAGATCAAAGTGCCAAAAAGCCGATCGCAAATTCTTTTGTACGTAGAGGAGATGGAGAAAGAGCAGGGAAGTTTTGGGGGGTGATGGTTACCAAAAATTAATCAATTAACTAGCCTTCCTTGTTATGTTGTCAGAAAACTCAAAGAATATTCTGAACTTTCCTTTGTGGACTTAAAAAGGAGGAAAACGTCACTCCCCTATTCCCATTTCCACCTTACCTCTAAGCACATAAACAGAAAGCATGTTGGGGAAACTGCAAAGAGGAATGGAAGTTACACCTATTTCATTGTAATAACATTGCCAATAACATGCCGCTAACATTGTAATAACAGAGCTGTAGCAACAACTCTTGGATTCTTGGTTTAAGGGAAGTAAGAAACCTAGTTGGAGTGTAAGGAAGGGGTAGAGAAGGCCTTTTCGACAGGGACAGTTCTTAGCCATGTCCTGCAGGAAAGGGAAATAAACTTTGGATCTTCTTGTAAATGATATACATTTGCTAGAAAGGGGAGTATTGACAATTCTATAAAGCTGGAAATTATAGTTTAAAGCAACAGATTAGTGAAGCATCAATATTAGTCCTTAACCATGGTTTATAATTGTCAGAGAAGAAGGTTTACACCAGTGTTTCATGTGCATCTTTGAAAGGATAAAAGGTAAAACAATACAGAGCAAATATGGACATGTTTAATCACCCTTTATTTAAAAATTTATGAAAATATAGGAATGAGGGGTGTCTGGGTGGCTCAATCGGTTAAGCGTCTGACTCTTGGTTTTGGCTCAGGTCATGGTCTCACATTTTGTGGATCTGAGTCCCACATCAGATTCTGCACTGACAGTGCGGAGCCTGGGATTCTCTCTCTCTTTCTCTCTCTCTGCCCCTCCCCCCCCAAAATAAATAAATAAACATTTAAAAAATATAGGAATGAAACCGTCCCTCAGTACGAAAACTATCTCATTAAATTTAGTAGCATAATACAAATGTGTGAAAAGTTATGTTTGTTTTCTTTTAGACAGTCTCAGAAAGGTATCCCTAATTGAAAACTTAAAAAATAATGAATCAAAAGGGATTAAAGAAAACATAATCACCATTCAGGTATTAAATATCAATAAATACATATGCTTCTTCATTAATTTCTGTTTTGAATCTTGCACTTACCATATCTGTATATAGTATAAATTTAATGTAAGGGATAATGAAATGTCATTGTATTAAAATACATATAATGAAAGTTAGATCAATTTTAGCTCATATAAAGTCATCTCAATTTCTCAAAATCTCCTTCTACACATTTCTGCACACATACTAGTTAGACTATCCGTAATCTTTTTTTTTTTTTTTTTGCTTGTCATTCCTTCATTTATAAGAGGCCAACAAAGAGTTTAAATGTGAACAATCTGACCAAGGAGAGAAAGATATCACAAAAGCAAGAGAAAGAAGAAATTTCAAAAAGAAGTGTAGACCTCTGTGTCAAATGCTCCTTAAAGATAAAAACAAAAACAAAAACCTCCTTTGAAACTGGAGCCTATGTCTTACTCATTGTTGTATCTAAAATGCATAACAATGCCTGACCCACAGTCATTTCTCAGTAAACGTTTGTTGAACTAATAGGGAAATGTGGTCCGAGCAGCAAGGAGATTGCTTATTAAGACAGTTTTGGTAGAGTGGGATGGTCATCGGGTATTAGGTTGAGATGAAAATGATGTCAGGGATGGAGACAAAGTCTAGTGATGCCCAAGCTGGATCAATATTCAGAACCACCTAGAGAGCTGAAGAAAGATAGAGTCTTAGGTTTCTCTCCAGACTTACACATTCTCTAAGATATAGAATGTGAGGCTCTACATTTTACTAAGATTTTCAAATGGTTCTGAATATAAACCAGGTTCAGAAACCACTTTTCAAGTAGATTGACTGTGGCAGTAAGCATCTTTCTGCAAGACCCCTGTGAGCTTGTCTGGTGCAAAGGACATATGTTCAGCAGTAGAGAGTTTCTGGAATCCAGCAAAAGTTCAGCATTAAGAACTAGATGCCTGCCCTTTATAATACGTCACATCATGTTTTAAAAAGTATTTATAGCTCACAGCAGTAAAATTTATTCTGAATAAAATTACTAAATTTATTATTTAAAATATCTATTCACGATCATAGAACAGAATGTCTAAAATGATAATCTTTTAAAAATAATGTAGTAAGTGGGATGTCACCTTGGAAAAAATGA